TTTGGGATGAAACAGATGAGAACACAGGAGCCATCTGCTTAACCTAACCCAATATACGAATCACCCTCAACTTTTAGGACATCGAAAAGCAGTCTGAACACTCAGAGAAGTTCACAACAAATAGCATACTTACTAGAAAACTGGAATTGTATTTCTTATATGCTAGTATTTACTTGGTTCTGTATCAACTTTCATTTACAATGTGAACTTAGTTGTAGCCTCTGGGCAAATTATTTCATCAACCTGAGTCATAAGTATTTTCAACTATAGAACATATCATCAGTAAGACTACATTATTTTTAAATATCTTTGTGGCTATTTATGTTTTCTTCAGCTAGTAGCAAAACTACAACATTCTGCTCTGTAGTCTGTCTCTGTATCTCCAAGAACCTTCACCTTACTACGCTGCCCTTCTGCCACGCCCCCCCCAACTGAGCAAGTAGAAATAAGGAATTTTGGGGTTTTGTTGTGAGATTTTTTTCCAGTTTACCTCCATCTTTATCTAGCAATGAAGCTTCAGTCTTAGAAACTTCAGACTATCTTTAATTTGCTTATATAAGCCTAATATTAAGAACGCTTAACTGCAATTTTTTTCCCTTTAAAAAAAATTTTTTTTTAAAAATATTTTACTTGTTTACTTTACATCCCACTTACTGGCCTTTTCCCGGTCACCACCTCCCACATTCCTTCCCCCATCTTTCTTACCTGCAAATTTAAAAATATATTTTATAGTTATGAAACAAGCAACCATAACCCTTGAAAATTCAGTAAATCTGACTAGAAGGGTAGGGCTCTCAGTTTTCAACAAACTCTAAGAGGTTTCTGCCCTCCCCAGTCAGCTCTAAGTGCTCTGTTTGTAGGTATTCTGACAGTCTCAGCAGGCAGCAGAGGGACTAGGAAGGAAGGACCTTGGCTCTAAAAGGTAGTCTCCAAACTCTCCACAGTTATGGCTCCAGGGAAGAAACTCTTGAAAAAGGGAGATGCTTCCACAGACAGATAACTCTGTAAAGCATCAAAGTAGTCCATGTTTTTAGGCAATTTTAGAAGACGCCAGAGTAGTAAATACAGTGAAGAGTCTCATCTCTACTCAGCTACTCCTCATGTGCAGCCCGTAACTCCTAATGGAAGAGAAGGATGTGCACACTGGAGCCTTCTTATGATAATCGAACATTTAATCATGTTTACATTAGATGGGACTAGATTTTAATGTGAGAAATTTAAACTTTAGGATATACACATCTAAATAAATTTTGTACATTACTAAGAAATGTTACATATCAGGTAGTGAGCTGCTAAAATGATTTCCCAGAAAACCAAACTAACAAGTAAATTATGGGTACTTAAGGTCTCTCTTTCTTCAGAAAAATGTGGAGAATATGGCTATAACATGTAAATCCATAACCACTTCCTAAAATAGAGTTCTAACAGTTAAATTATTGTAGATTTAAATATGTCCAACTCTAACACACATAGCAGTTAAGATAAACTAGGTTATAAAGTTACAAAGTTGCACACAGACATGGCACTGAATATACATTACCGACTTCTGCTATTTTCTTTTGTTGTTTTTGTTTTGTTTTGTTTTGTTTTTCGAGACAGGGTTTCTCTGTGGAGCCCAGGCTGTCCTGGAACTCACTCTGTAGACCATGCTGGCCTCGAACTCAGAAATCCACCTGCCTCTGCCTCCCAAGTGCTGGGATTAAAGGTGTGCGCCACCACTGCCCAGTTGTTTGTTTTGTTTTGTTTTTTAACTTTTTGCTGTTTGGTTTTTTTTGTGTGTGTGCTATTTTCTTGAATGCCGAACATGATCAGTTAAAAAACATCCCAGGGCCAGGGGCATAGCTCAGTGGTAAAATGTGTGTTCTGCTAGCATTTGAGGCCCTGGTTTCAAGCCACAGAAACATACATGAACAAATGCATGAGTATGCATGTGTAAGCATGTATGTGTGCCTGTATGTGTGTGTGTAAACCTTAAGACAGGTTTTGGAATTTATATGCTGACTACAATGAGCATAAAAACCCAGTTAGACTATTAAAGAGCATGTACTCTGTTCAAAACTATCATGAGAACATGAAGCAGACTGGCAAGGTGTGGAAGTTGATCTGTGCTCTATGTTTAATGTTACAGTTAAACTACAGGATCAAAGTATAAAAGCGCTCTTTTGATATAATCCAAATTCCTTTTAATTCCTATTCCTGTCCTTTGCTCATCATTTTACAGGGATTTTTACTTAGCTAAACTCACTCTGTTACATTCTCCAGTTTGCTCAGTGTTGTGCATTACAGCTCCTCTTTGTCAACTAACTTTATCCTGTTTAAATGTTCTTTTCAGAGTTGCCATGTAATATTTATCTGTTAGAAATAACTTGTTAGATACATATGCCTAAATCTAGAGATTTGGAATATAGTCTTTGAGAATTATATGATATCCATTTTTTTAAAAATTGGTTGAAGCTTTCCCTCAGCCTTAATACAATATGGTTTTATAGAGACAGGAAAGAATTTAGACAAACTAAGCAGGCAATAAGAACTCTCACTAAGAATCTCTGATGCTAAACAATAAAAGAGAACTCAAGAGCAAAAATTGAGCAAAATGTCACTGCTCCAAATTCTGCTGGAAATTTTTACATATATATGAAGTATAGTAAAGGAATTAGTATCTAGAAGATGACTGGAAAGGAAGTTATGGAGAAGAGTTGCTATGACATGTGGTACAAATTCTACTTCTGTGACGCTCGTTTGGTGGAAGCCTCTAAATCTCCCATGTTCATAGACTTTGCAGCTCAATTGTAATTAACATTTCAGGAAATTCACGTGTTTCACACCAGAAGAAAAGTTCTCTCCAATAATAACTACTTGACTAACTTACTCATAAGGAGCTTTGTACAATCTTAGATCGTTGTGAGTCATACTTAGTATTATAGCATATGATCCAAAAATACTGTGTAAGAAAGATGAAATATGAATAGGCTATCAGCACTGTTTCTATAAGAACAAGTTTAATGCTTTGGAATGTTCAATATGAGAGAGACTGCATCTAGGCATGAAAAACTGAGGGAAATCATAAAAATTTTTAAGAACTGTACACTTACATTCACTCATAAGGGCCCAGTTTTCGGCTTCTCTTTAAAGTAATAAAGATGAAAACCCACCACCAAGGAAATAATGATTATATAAAAGACAACAATGACTGCTGATGAGTCAGTGCCTATGTAAATGTTAAATAATGAATTCGTATTACTGAGTACTGAATAAGTATAAAGAACATGCCTAAAAATTGAGATTGTGTGTGTGTGTGTGCATGTGTGTGTGTATACATACCTTATTTAAGGACATCTCTAGAGGTATCCCAGTGATGTCAGTAAGCATATATAATCAACAGTATTAAGTTTTATGGATGATGAACAAATAAAAAAGTAACAACAGATGGAAAACAAGAAGTCAGACCATGATATAATTCTAAAAGCAACTATTAAGCACTTTACTGATACCTTTCATGAGCTAATGTTTTCTTCTTTTCAAAAAAACTGAACATGTGTGCACACACATGCTTGTACCATGGCGCGTGTGTGGAGGGTCACAGCACAGCTACATGGAGTTGGTTCTCTCCTTCACCTTTACATGAATCCATGAAAGAAACAAGCCTATTCAGTTTCTACCAGATAAGTCATCGCCAAGACCCTAATGTTTTTAGAAGCACTTTCACTATTACAATAATAATATTGTTAGTGATGGCCAGAAAAACTAATTATAAATTCCTTAAAAAATTTAAAATATCAAGCATTAGGGGAAAAAAGGAAAATCACCTCATTTCTTTCTTAGATTGCTTATCAGTAAGAAATGATTAGAACAAAATGCCAAACTTAAGCTTTTATAGGTCTGGATGTAAAAGCTGAAAGGTAAATGAAACCACACTCAAAGTGAAAACTTTAAAACTCAAACTGATCAAAAGTTAAGGAATGCAGAGTTTCTAGGGAGACCAAAAGGTTGTTTGTAAAACTTTATAATAAAGCAAAAGAAGTGTTAATGTGTTACATATAGAAACCAGAAGCATGTATCTTAAAAGTAAATTGCAAATTTAAATCATCATATTTTACTTCTAGTTTGGCAAATTATGCTACCTGCTAATTAGAAATATTAATAATTCAACCAAGTACAATTTGTTTCAAGTATCACAGATTAACATTACAAATGACGTCATTAAGATGGATGTGCCATGCGGTATTCATGATCAAATTTCTCTATACTCTAGACTGACTCCTGCAAAGGCTCTAAAGTTAAAAAAGAATTTTAATGCAAAAATTTGTCCTGAAACATTTTTCTGTCACATGTTCTCATAAATATACAGTTTGGTGAATAGAGTTTTCCCCTCTCTTATTAACAGTTACTAACACAGTATAAAACATTTGAACACTTTCCCAAATTGCAAGCTGGGTATAGTAACTAAAATTAGCAGATGAATAATTTCCAAAATATGACTAGTGTGCTAAATACAAAGAAAAAATTAAAACCTCCACATACATCCTACTATTTTATTGTTTAATCGGGCTAATCTGAAACAAAAATTCTATACTATGTAGAAAAAAAAATGGTCCCTCTCTCCTTGAAGTTGCAAATAAAATGTAAAGTAATACATATTTTTGTGTAAATGTTCATGTCAACATTTTTCTTTTTAATGTATTTAATTGCTATTGAAATGATGAACAAGTTAATTAAACCTTGTTCCTTTTTACTATAAGAAACAATAAGGTAATAGCAGACTAAACTCTTATTGCTTTTATAAACTTTCCTATTTCCAGAGTCTTGGACTTCAATAAACAAGAGGTAATTATAGGAATAGGTGCCTAAATAATCTTAGAGCAATTTTAAGTCAGGGTTAATTTGACTAATATTATGAAGCATATACTATCGGCATTCAAACAACAGACATGGTAATAAAGTTTTTGATAAATAATTAAAAATGAAAACATCTAACGTTCTATAAAAGAAGGCCATTTTACCTGGATTAGATGAGGCAATGCTTTTAGTGTAAGGCAAAACCAAATTCCAAGTTTGCATGGAAGCAAATCATGCCACTGTGGTTTTATAAGCAATCTAAAAGTGGGGAGAAACTCAATCAACAAATCAAAAAAGTAGACAAAGTTGAGGAACAAAATATTTTAACCAATTAAGAAATGTTTTATAAATGTCAATTTAATTTAAAAATGAAGAAAAGTTTTCAATAACATATTTATGACAGTGATAAATTAGTCTACTATAATTTGGTATACTATGAAAGGAAGGAGTTGAAAACATGATACAGATAAAAAGTATAAGAATCAAATCTATAAAATTTTGGGGAAAGAGGTTTCTAATCAAGCTACAAAGATTAAAAAGAACTAATTGGAGGGGAGGATCTTGACGTGAATTTGCTCAAAATACATTACATGCATATATAAAATTCTCAAGTAAGAAATATTTTTTAAAAAGCCAAAGTCCCTTCCCTTTTAATCTGGGCTTTCATCACTTCTCCAAAATGAATTCTTAAACCTTATGATTGTTTCGGCTATAAAACAGTAGCCACCATCAAAGTGTTCCCAAGTGTTGACAGGTAACAACCAAGGGGCATAAAACGAGTGACACCTGAAGCACTGCTCACCTCTGCCGTCCAGCAGAGGACAAGTACAAAGGCTCTGTGTGCCACTCACTTCCTCTCTGCTTACCACCACTTCCGAACAGAGATACATTATTTCTACTAGCATTTTGTCTCTAAAGTTTAGTACAAAAACTTTGAACTACAAGACTCTGAGAGGTTAATATTTAGAAAGATAAGAACATTGTATCTGGAAATTGTGGCACATCTGTGTCTGTGAGCCTAGGACAGATGTGCTAGCATATCTGAAGAGGGTACACATGGAATAGAGCCATACCATACACTATGTGTGCACGCCTACCTTTCGTTCTTCTCAGAAGCACCAAGTTTTGCTGCGTCCACACTCTTGCTTCCTGTCTTCTTCTTCTTCTCTCTCTTTTTTCTACCAAGCAGTTCATCCTTACCATGAAAAGAATGACAGTAACTGTCTTTAACATGTACATCTCATATGCTATAAAGAGTCTTTCACAAAGAGAAAACACTGGAAGACCATTTATGCAAATGTATGTAGGGTCCAACATGATCAAGTAAAATCATCAATCTTTCATTATAAGTGTTGCCATGGTATCTGGACTCAGACATGTGAGATTCAGCACTGTCAGTCATGTGAATCTCCATAGCAACCAAAGTTTTCTAAGAAAAGAAAGCACTGAGCTTACTTTTTATTATTCATGCATCTTTAATGGTGCTACTTTAAAAAGAGTGAGTAAAGGCTGGAGAGATGGCTCAGCGGTTAAGAGCACTGACTGCTCTTCCAGAGGTCCTAGTTCAATTCCCAGCAACCACATGGTGGCTCACAACCATCTGTAATAGGATCTGATGCCCTCTTCTGGTGTGTCTGAAGACAGCTACAGTGTACTCACATACATAAAATAAATATATAAACCTTAAAGAGTAAGTAAATGGTTATTCATGAATGTTTATAAACATTTAATTATTTATAGCATATAAATAAAAATCCTAAGCATATTAGACTGAGTAAGTGTAACAAATACTTTAACAAAATGATTCCTGAAGTTATAATATATATTCACTTTAAATTTCACTTTGTTTTTAAAGTAAATACATTATATAAAAAGCCTGTGATAAAAATTTCTCAAGTAATTACATAAAAATTCTACTTAGTAGGATAAATTTGACAAAGTTAATTACAAATTCAAATGAAGTATTTATTTAGAGAAATAGTTTTATGTGTTTTCCTTGTCATAAAAATGAAACAGTAACTAGTGACAGTACAACTATTAGAATACAGAGAACACGTAGAAAAACAGAAATTTCCATTGCATAAGAAATAAATGTCTAGAATTCTGTACAAAATAAAGGAGGCTAGACCATTTGATGTATCTGCAATACTTACCAGCTGCTTTTCCAGGTAGATGGACCAAACCACGGCGTAGTGGCCCACTGTGAGAATAATGAACAAGAGCAAGGCCAGCTCAGCATTGCTCATTTTTCTCACTCGCCTATAGTAGAATACAGGCTGGCGCCAATCTGGAAGCCCATTGATCAGAATATCATCATACCTGTGGTAGCAAATATAACAGTTTTTCATGGAGAGTTAAGATAATGTAAAACCAAAGCAAAGCTAAACTTCATTTGCATCTATATTTAAAATGAAAAAGAATAAAATTTTTCTCATAGACATAACAACTGTAGTTTATCAGCATCAAATTCCTAGTAAATCAAAGCATAATTATGTAGCTTCAGTAATGAAGTCTTCAGGAAGGCCCGAAGTAGTAATACACTACACCCTAGAGCTCATGGTTTACAGCACCCAGTCATACGGCTCCTTAATTGACATGATATACCTGTCTACACTGTCTGTAGAAAATTCTCTAGCACAGAATCAGCAACAAAAGGAAGGATCTAATGGAGGAAAAATAAATAAATAAAACCAGAGCAACCTGAATTACACATTATTTGAATGAATTATACATGAATTGAATCAAACTCAGGATATATTTTTCTGACCCACATTTGTATCTACCCTCTTGATAATGGTAGTTGAATGTTGAAATATCTATTCACATTATTGTATTAAAATTCTTTTTCTTTAAATAATCTATTTTTATTTTATGTACATTGGTGATTTGACTGCATGTATATCTGTGTGAGGATGTCAGATCGCCCAGAACTGGAGTTACAGACAGTTGTGAGTTGCCGTGTGGGTGCTGGGAATTGAACCCAGGTCCTCTGAAAGAGTAGCCAGTGCTTTTAACTGCTAAGCCATCTCTCCAACTCCCTATTAAGGCTTCTTAATGACATAAATAAAATGAGTGCCTTAAGATTTTTGCAGAGCTCATTTTACTTTAAGAACAAAAAGATCTCAAATTAGAGAAGGACATGGAAACAACAAATGCATGTCAGAGTTCACAATAAAAGTGCTTATTTGTAAACACTTAAATAGCAATTTCCTCATTTGTGGCTTTTGCTGGAAGAGAAGAACATCAATACATAACAGTTTTCCTTATAATAGATTTATATTATCATTCTTGGTACTATAAAGCTAAAAAAATTGTTTCAAAATAAAAATTCAACTGAATTTAAATTTATGTCAGTTATTGAACAAATATTTTTAAGGTTAAAAATAAGATGTAACATTTATAACTGTGAGACTCAAAATGGTCACATGCACTGTATGCTCAATACACACAACCTGTTAATCTTAATTGAACACAACTCATTAAATATTCTAATCACGTTATTTCCAGAATTAAACCTCCACCGAAAGGCCTAATTTGGTGCAACACATTGACCAAAATATTTTAATTAAAAATGTTCTGAGTTAGTCGCAGGCCTAATTACAGGACTAGAAATAGGACCTATATTGTCAGGCAGGTCAGGAGAGCTCAGTAGTAGGTTTTTCTCAAGTAAATTGACCGATCTAGGAATAATAGCGCAGCTGCTAAACTGCCAGTCTTGACATGTAAATCAATTTAAATGCAACAACTGCAGTAGCTACTTTGATAGTTATTAAATTGATACCTTGGAGATATGCTAAAAATATAAAGCACAGGGTTTATTATAGAAAAATTCTTTATTTTTTTCAGTAAAAAAAAGCCCCACTGGTTATTAACGTAAAACATAATTTATTAGCTAATTTTTAAAAACATGACTTTTAAAATCAACTTTAGTTATTAATACTACTATATCTGAGTATCCAAGTAGTAAAAGGTTATTTACAAAAGTCAAATTATAATATGGTTTTGTGGTGGCGGGGCCAGGCAAAATTGTATGTTAAGTATTTTTTTTCCAGAGGATTCCTAAAACATTAACTTCAAGATATAACATTATAACTTCCTAGAAAACTTATTTCTGTCTTCAGAATTTTATGTTTAGATCTATCTTTTACAAACTGGCTAATTTAGACCCAGGTAAAAAGGTTTCAGTTATTGTATCGTAAGATCTCAGCACTCAAGTGAGGTGCAGTGAGCATTAGGTCCCACATTTATTCTAAATTCTATTCTACATCAGATTTCTTGAGGAAAAATAAAAGTGAATGAAAAAATTATTTTCAGAAATATCTCCACTGAAATAACTTCTAAGAGGTATGTTTATCAATAAAAATTATTTGAAGATGTGGAGTTGATTCATTATTTATAGAGATACTAAACCTGTATTGGATCTAAACTGTATTGGATGAAAATACAACTACACTTATAACTAAGACTTTTCTATCAAATATTTCATCACTACCACTGGGAAATGCTGCTATTTTTCTATCAACATATGAACTGTATTTAGTATACAACCAAATACAAGTGAATGGGACACATGAAACGCATATATTTACTTGACTGCACTTGCCATGCTGAAGAACAGTGTCCAGGGATTAAGCATACAATCAATGCTCTATTGATTTTATCACAATGAACATTATGGCTCACACAACTGGCCATTTGAAGGGAAGATAGCTTCTATTATAGTTCAGTTTTTAAAATGTATGTTGTTAAAAGATAAATTACTACCTTCCTGATGGGACACTGAAAAGAAAAATATACTTCTTAAAATATACACAGATACAGTTATTTAGCAACAACAAAAAAATGTGTCGACAACACAAAACTTACATCACTGTACTGTGTGTTTCTATATTTAAATGCTCAAACCCTCTGTAGCTGAGATGGATACAAACTATTTTTAAGCCTGTATTAAAGCTGGATTAAGAATGTATGAATGTATAAATATGATACAAGTTAGTCAGAAGCAAAATTTCTATCATAAAAATCACTAACATATACAAATAAAAACTGACATGGAATTATAAAGGCATTTTCTTAGAATTTAAAGCACTAATTGATCAGTTCCACAAATCCAACATATGGCCTAATGCACATTTGCTTCATTTCGTTTTCTTAAATACACAAGATAAGCATAAAATAACAGTTGCTCAGCCATTAGTGAGTTCCACACTAGAATTGAAATTCATCACACACCTGCTTGCTAGAAATATTGGAGAACAAATTTAAAATAATCTTAAACTACCAGCAGAAAACATTACATTAATTTAAAGTAGCAGTCAGCAATACAAACAGTTAAATAAAAACAAAGTCAAAATAAAAATCTGAGAGTAAAACATGAATAAATCATTCTATCATTTGTTAAAATTACTATCCTACAGAATTTGTTAAATTTTTTCTAGTCTACAGAATTTAAATTTTTAACTTCAAAATAACACAATTTCCAACAGGTAGGATTTTAAACCTTCCAGTAAAAATCACTAGTACAGAGATTACATAAACAAGAAACAACACTAAATTAGTTGATCTTTATGTGTGTGGCAAATCTACCATAACACATAGCATTTTATATAATGTATATGTGTCTGACAGGTTCATTTAAAGAAAGTCCTATTCTTATTCTCAGATTTGAACAGATCTGTAATTAAATTTAAAGTAAATTTGTAATTTTACAAAAGTTTTAATAAATTAAAGTTAATGCCAAATCTTAAATAGTATTTGTATGTGACATGATTTTCTTTGGTAAACTAAAAAATGTCTAAGGCTTAAAAATGTAGTATTGTAACATACAAAGGAAAATTTAAGTTGCAGAATTGGATTAATAGAAATACTAGTTTGCCAGGTGTGTGGGCACACACCTTTAGGCAGAGAGTTTAAGGCCAGCCTGAGCTACATAAAAAGACCCTATCTCAAAACCCCCTGTGCCCCAAAAAAGGACTCTCCCAAAAATGAGAAAAAGAGGAAAAAATACTAGTTAAAATTTATAATAGTTTTAACGCACAACTACACAGGTTAATATTATCTAAGTATAATCTAATACACAGGTAGTAAGTAGTTTTCAAAAATTTATGTAAAAACTTTGGGACCTTGTGTAGAAATTCGTTTTGGATCACAGGCTGATAGTCCTTCAAATGAGTGTAATTGCTATGGAATTTAGGTAAGAATTCTATGCTAGAATTCCTTACATTCAAGGAAAATCTATTATTTTCAAGTTATAATCTATGCCTTTGAGGAGTGGGTAAGTTAAGGTTTCCAAATATTCTTCTAGGAATTTGTTCTATCTAAGAAATGAAACTTATGTCTATATAAAGACTTTTATGCTAATGTTCACAGCATCTTCTATACAAAGCGTTTAAAGCCAGAGGTCCATCAAATGGTGAATGGATAAATAAAAATATCCTCACAATGGAATAGTATTCAGTAATAGCAATAAAGCATTATGATATAGTATAGTATGAATAAACTTAAAAAAATGTAATGCTAAATGAAAGGAACCAGATGCAAAGGACTAGACACTGCATGATTCTGTCACTATGAAATGAACAGAACAGACAAACTGATAAACACACTGAGCAGATCTCTGATTATCTAGGGCTGGAACTCAGAGCAGGAATTGCCTATAAATGGGCTTGGGATTTATTTTTCTGAGGATGAAAATGTTTAAAGACTGGGTTGTCGAGAGAGTATGCTGAGGTCAGTACAGTTAATACATGTCACTGGATTGTACACTTAGAGCAGGTGTTTTTCATAATATGTAATTTATACCTAATTTATATCATTACAAAACAAAATAAAACATATCACTTTCTGAAGAAAAAAGTTATTCCATTTGTTAACTTATTTATTGCATTGCTCTTCCCTTTCTCACAAAAAGATAAACAATTTATTTAATTTCAATAAAAATATAATTACATCTATGGAGAAAAAAAAAACAGGAAACACTTCTATGATAATGTTCCAAACTATATGCCTAGGTTACAATCTTAAAGCACTTGCTCAAGGAATATTTATGATAATGAATTGTGCCAGCAAAATTTATTTAGTGAGAGCAGTATGAGATGGTGTTAGAAAATGTAGCTGACTACTCTTTCCTTTTTAAGGAACTAAGAATCTTACTGAAAATATCTGCAGACATGTCGTTCTCCTGTGTCTAAATATTCACAGGTCATCTGGCCTCAGGCACAAGCTTTAGAGAAGTTATTCTCAACTTGATTAGTTAAGTCTTTTGCCTCAAGGAAAACCAGTTACAAAAGAGTTACTTGTGCCTCAAGGGGTATAAATACTACAGATGTTTGTGTTAACTGTCAGGTCTTTTTTTTTTTTTTTCTGCTAACACTAAAGTAAATGCAGAGGGAACTATTCCTAAAGAGATTATGTCAGACGACTCTGTTAACACAGAAACAATGATTAGGTAAGAAGTGATTTGCTGTGAAAAGACAAAAATGATTCTTCTAATAGAAGAAGTTATCACAAAATTTACTGACTTCTAAGAAAACAACAAGCAAAAAGATAAAATTTGATGGCAAAGATGTTGAAAGAATAAAGAAAGCTATCTTTACAACACATTCTTGATGTATGAGACAAAATTAGCTGCTCACTAAAGGAAATCTACTAGAATAAATGTACAGAGTAACGAAAACTTCTTTCAACAGGACAACCTAAACTAGAGGAAATGCCTGGACCAAAGCCAGTCAGTTCTTGGTATAAACCAAAGAACGTAAAGATAGTACTTGAATCCTGTATTACAACCTGACCAACTGGGATATTCAAATTAAACAGTTACTACAAGAACCAGGAAAGGCAGCTAATATTTTAGGACACAGAATTATTCCAGACCATATATTTGAAGAAAAACTCAGAATGTCTCACCATGTAATTCTTGGGTTTGTCTATAAGATTGTGCTAGCCACAAACAAACCAGGTATTTGGGCCTGCTTTAGCTTAAATCTCAAATGTGCAATTGTTTAAGACAACACAGTCAAATTTCCAATGTTGTCCAATATTGTCTCATGAAATCAACCTGTTGGACTCCAATCAGCATTATTACTGTTTGTTCTTTAAAGACTAACAAGTTCAGAATGAAACAAACATGCAAACAAACAAAAAGTTTATTTCACCTGCAATGATTTTTGTGTGCATATGTGAAACTTTTGTTTCAATTATATGTGTCTCAAAGAATAATTTAAAATATGTTTCTTTCTATGGGTATGATTTTAAAATCTCCAAAGACTTTGCAACTGGATTGACACTCCATACATTCTACAACACAGGAACGGCCTCTGTAAGTCACTGGCACTGTAAACCACTTTGTGAACACATATATTACTGCTCTTCTGAAAAGGGCAGAGACATGTCTGAATGAGAAAGTACCTCTTGTCTAAGGTTACCAGACGCAATCACTATAGCAGGTGTAGGAAAGAAGTGTAAACAAGCGAGAAAAGAGGAACAATTTTCTTTTACGTCTATCTTCTGCATTCATGCACATCTCACAGTTTATCACCTGGGCTATCTGGAGGTGAAGAGACATCAGGACAGTACACGTAAGGGATTACTAAAATGATAACCTCAAACACTTAAGAAGAGGGTCTGAGCGTAATGGGTCCAGCAAATACATAGAGGTTATTTATCATATACTGTTAAGAGTGGGTATTTGGTTGAATCAAGAACTGGTTGTTTCCCAGGGCATAAACACTCATGGTAAAGTCTTTTCTAATGAAGCAAAACTTGCTAAATTTATGATTCATGATCCTAATCTGTAAGTACTAAATCACTCTAGGGAATATGTTCAAAATAAATGAGTTCTATTCTACAAAGACTGTAAAACAATGCATTTCTTGGAACAAACAAACAAACAAAGCCTAACTTAAACAGGACTTAATTCTTTCCTTTTAAAGGCTGTAGCATGAACTTGCCCATCTAAATTTAAAAACACAATTGCACACTCACCTCTGCCTTCTTTCATCATCCTTTAAAACTTCATAAATGGCCACCAACTAAAATAAAAGCATTACTTTAAAATAAAAATACTTACAACTATGAGAAATCACATAGGAGGATGAAAGCTCTATAAAGCATATGCAGAAACCCCCATGTCCCAGCTATGTAGTAAACAGTAAAAATCCAATTATAAGCAACATCTTATGGTTTTAGAAGCACATTAGATGTTTAAGGACTACTTGATATCAAATGAATTTTGTCAAAGGTGTTAAAGTAATAGCTTACCTTATAAATATTTTAAGAATAAGAACATAATTTAGCAAGAAAATTATGAGAGCCATGACCCTCCAACAACTAAGAAACTCTAAATGACACAAAATGTTGGTAAAAAGTATTCCATTAAAAAACAAATAAAAAGCTAAATATTATATATTTAAGCTTTTTTGTGTTAAAATGAAATATTCTACAAGTAAGTTACTATTTCTAGCATAAGCATATTAGTTAATACAATTATCATTATATATTTATAAATAAAACTGCATTTCACTTACTTGTCTAAATTGAGTTTCTGCATTTTCGTCTTTATTCTTATCTGGATGTAAGGTTAGTGAAAGCTTACGATATGCTTTTCTGATGTCTGCAGATGAAGCATCCTGGGTTGGGAGGGGGAGGGGAAAATACAAAGCAAACTTTGTCAGAAAGAGAAATTCCCAGAACCTTGCTAAGATCTGAGAAGACAGCCAACCAAGTGCAGGACCCCGGGCAATGTAATTTGAGCAATCAGTTTAACAACCAGGCTATGCAGCCAGCCTGACCCACATGACTGAACAATTATTCAATCTCATTTGGCGCTCCTCTTAACTTTTCATTACCATACAGCCATTCAGAGAGATCCGTATTTAGCAAAACTTTTCCAACACTTTCCTCCCTAAAATTAGTCAATAAATCTTTTCCAGTAATTAAGATATAAGAAAAGGCAAATTAAAAATTAATATATCTGTATGCCATCAAAGAACTTTATTATGTACTAGAGAATCTTAAAACTAGTTTCTGAAGCACAAGCTTATATGTATAGTTTCTTTATTGTTATTTATATTGAAGCTATCATCCAGCAACAACTTATGGAATCCCAATTTTACAAGTCAAAAATGTTTATTTGAAAGGAGGTAAATTTGCATTTATTTGAAAACAGATGTAATTACAGTTATATACTTTAAAGGACATTTCCACCATCCCAGTCTCCCCAGTCTGGTTTGTATAAAAACCACCACCAACAAAAACCTTTCCCGTTATACATGCTTTACTAATACAGTTTAAAATACACACAAGGTCACAGTGGACAGTGCTTCAGATTAGGTAGATGTTAACATAATAGTAATCTCGTTTGTGTGGATACAATAAGAAAACATCATTTATGTGGCTAAAATAAATACACACCAAAGCTCAAAACTTCATTTCCACTGTATTTAAAAACAGAGTCTCGAGGCAAGCGTCAGTTAAGTAACTTATTAAATTTGTTTGATAGCCATTTGTCTAATTAAGTACTAAAACTATTTTACTAAATGGCTCCAACAACTAAAAACTCAAACCAACACAAAAATCTATATACCAGGGGCCAAATGGTTGTTAAAGATTTGGAGAAAAAGAGACAAAACAAACCAAAACCAAACCAAAACAAAACAAAAAAACCAAAAAAAACCAAACCCTACAATTAGCCTGTCAAAGCTTTTCTTCATGAGCCATTATTTCACAGGGTGGGGGTGGGGTATGTCTTGTTGCTTCAGGCTAGTATGGTACCCTAGGTCTGAATACTTCTCTGACTTATGATGAGTCCAGGAGCTATACAACTAACAGAGTAAAACTTGTAGATAATATGTTTGTATGATTTCATCTTAAATTTGCTTAAGGAAGGCTGTACTTCCCACATTAGATGACAGGTAATACTGAAGGAAAGGGGTAGGTAGGGCTATTTAATAGAAATGTGTGCTGAATCCTTTTGTCATGCAAAGGTGCCATGTGTCTAATTAGAAATTTAAAATCACATATATCATGTAACATATATAACTTAAAAATAAAAATGACTACTGGTCATCCAAGGCATTTCCTTGCTTCTGGTTTTTTCTCCTCAAATTTTCGGTCACAGTATGTACCCCAAATATAAGTACAGCCAGATAAGATAGTTCTGTTTCAAGCCCTCCAAGAATTGTAATCACCTTCTGTTTCCCCACTGTTTTAATTTTGTCTCCCAACCTTGCTGACCTATCCTGCTGGTTTCCCACATAATTACACTTGAGGGTACAGTTCACCATCCTTGTGTTCTTGGTTTTTACTTGGCTACAAAACCAGACCATCCTCTCCTAAGGAGCTGGCCTCTCATACTACACACAAACACAGATTTTCCTCTAGAGAATCTGCCCAACACGGGTATTTCACCAATGAGATCAACTGTAAGTAACATGGCTTTTCCTGGGCTGGTGAGGTGGCTCAGTGGTTAAGAGCAGTGACTGCTCTTCAGGAGGACATGAGTTCAAATCCCAGCGACCACATGGCAGCTCACAACCATCCATAATGAGATCTGATGCCCTCACATGGGTGTCTGAAGACAGCTATAGTGGACTTTGAGCAGGAGTGAGCAGGGCTGGAGCAAGAGGAAGAAGGGAAGGGGAGGAAATTAAAAGCAAAAACAAAAAACAAAACATAGCTTTTCCTGTCTAAAAAGACATTCTCTGGGCAAGTTGTATCTTGAGGTAACTTGTGCATTTATTTAATGTAAGGCATTTAAGCCATCTTAATTTTAGCCACATGCAAATCTACTGTGTAAGTATAGTTATTGAGCCCATTTTGCAAACAAGGCAGTGAAAAGCTAAGTAACATTCAAGTTATATTTTTACACAAAAATGAACACAGAATTCAACACAAAAAAATTACTTCAGTGTCAGAGCTATGATGCCTGTTTTATTTAAAATTTAAGCTTAAATTTGTAAAAGAAGGAAACTTTGGGGAGGTAGTGAAAATAACCATTATCATCCTATGAATTTGATAAACACTGGGAACATATATCCACAAAATCATAAGGTACGTCCTACGAACTTCTGCTTCTTCTTCTCCCTATGGTTGCTGGTGTTTGAGGTGAGACCTCATAGACAGTGAGACCAACTATGTTCCCCAGGCTATCTTCAAACTCCTGGGCTCAAGTGATCACCCTGCCTTGGTCTCCTGAACAGCTGGGAATACAGGTACATACCAAGCCAGCATCAAGCTACACTGTAAGTTTTAAAGGTTAAGTGTCTGATGTGTGCTGGCTTCTCTAACATACTATATCAAACTTCTTCTATAGACAGAATTCAGAACATTCCTCTATCAAATTCAGTAGAACAGACCATCTAAAACCTGTTTTATTGAGAAAAAAATTTGACAGGGTGATTAATGAGTTGACCATTGGTTGATATCAAGAGATGTGCTACATTAATTTGTCGTTACTCTATTCCTTCTAAATGTGATCTAGTTCACTAGCAGGCAAATAGAATTATCTTAACACTTGGATAACCTCTGTAATGAAGAGACATATTGTCACTCTTAACACTTTTTAACGTAATATATGCTCGTCAAAATGGGAATACTGTGATCAAACCTCAGTGAAAACGTAGGAGAGAACTCCAAGGGCTGCCCTGCCACAGAAACAGTGAATAACCTGGCAAAACTGTCAGAATCAACTTTATCTGAACTCTGGAAACCAATCAAAGTTTATGGCAATCAGGCAAGCACTTAAGACAGCATGAAGCTGATTCTCAGTAAGGGTTCTGAAGGCACCAATCTCCATTCATGGTGTGAGTTCCCAGTACAAGAGAAAGCACAGCTGACCTTGTTCTCAAAGAATTATGGTTGTTCTGACTTGTCTGTCTACTGATATTTTAAAGACTTTCTTTTTTTGTTAAATCAAGTTTAGAACTCTGAAAGTGTACAGACATTTGTCAAGAACATATAATGGTGGCCATGAAGTATTCTGTGGTTAAAGGCTCATACCACCAAATCTGATCAACCTAAGTTGATCCCTGGAATCCACGTGATAGAAGGAGAGAATTAACTCCCTTAAAATTTCCCCTGCATCATCCACAAGGGTGCTGCAATGTATGTGGCTAAATGCTTGTGTGCATGCACACACATTGCCAGAGACCCAAGATACAAACCCATCTGGAAAAAAATAATCAATGAAATGATTCCTAATGATATCTGCTATACTCATAGATGGTGCCTAGCTCAACTGTCACCAGAGAGGTATTTTCTTAATTAGGGTTCTATTGCTGTGAAGAGACACAATGACTACAGCAAGTTTTACACAGGAAACATTTAATTGGGGCTGGCTTTCAGTTCAGAGGTTTAGTCCATTATCATTATGCAGGAAAAGAATGGCAGTGTGAAGGCAGACATGGTGCTGGAGAAGGACCTGAGAGTTGTACATCTTGATTCACAGGCAATAGGAGACTGCCCCACTAGGCCTAGCTTGAGCATATGAGACCTCAAAGTCCACCTCCACAGTGACACACTTCTTCCAACAAGGTCTCACCTACTCCAACAAGGCCACATCTCCTAATAGAGCCACTTCCTATTGGCTAAGCATTCAAACACATGAGTCTACTGGGGCCATTCCTATTCAAATCACTACAGGCAAACACTTTAGACATCATCCAGCTACTGATGGGATATGCAGATGCAGAGATCTACAGCCAAACACTAGACAGAGCCAGGAGAATGACCACAGAGGAGGGCAAGGAAGGATTACAGGAGCCAGAAAAGTCTAAGACACCATGAAAATAAGGGCCACAGGATCAACTAAACAGGACTCATAGGGGCTCATAGACTGAAGCAACAATCATGGACTCTGTATGGGTCTGAGCTAAGTCCTCTGCATAGATGCTATGTTATGTAATTTAGTGTTCTTGTGGGACTCCTAACAGTAGAAGTTGGAGCTGGGGGTGGGGTCTCTGATTCTTTTGCCTGCTCTTGAAACCTCTTCCCTCCTACTAGGTCACATGAAGGTTGGTTGTAAATTGTTATGCCATGTTGAGTTGAAATCCCTGGGAGGTCTGCTCTTTTTTAGAAGGGAAACAATGGAGGAAGAAGTGGGTGGGGGTGGTGCTGGGACGTACAGAGGGAGGGGAAGCTGCAGTTGAGATGTAATGTAAGAGAAAAAAAAGAAGGGAAAGAAGGAAAGGAGCCGGGCAGTGGTGGCGCACGCCTTTAATCCCAGCACTTGGGAGGCGGAGGCAGGCGGATTTCTGAGTTCGAGGCCAGCCTGGTCTACAGAGTGAGTTCCAGGACAGCCAGGGCTACACAGAAAAACCCTGTCTCGAAAAACAAACAAACAAAAAAAACCAAAAAAAAAAACAAAAACAAAAACAAACAAAAAAAAAAAGAAGAAGAAGAAAGGTTAAATAAAGTCCTTTAAAGGATAACTAAATCAGTCAAGGGGTAACATTTGGGAAGAAAGACTTTAGGGAAAGTGTCTTTGAAGTGTTGCCCCATTTTCCTTGGAAACCAGAAGACTATGCATGTGCTCAGAAGACGAGCATATGCTCGGAAAGACCAGAAAAGACACTGAAGGTCTCACAACTGGTCCATCTTCAAGCTCTGTGTAAGGAGTGAGCACAGGCTA